CTCTCTCTCTCTCTCTCTCTCTCTCTCTCTCTCTCTCTCTCTCTCTCTCTCTCTCTCTCTCTCTCTCTCTCTCTCTCTCTCTCTCTCTCTCTCTCTCTCTCTCTCTCTCTCTCTCTCTCTCTCTCTGTCTCTCACCAACATTTACCTAATTAAATGTCTTACAATGTTGCATGTAAATATGACAAACAGTGTTGGCAAGATCCGTCAGGTCGACCACATCCGCCAAGGGTAATTATGTCACACTTGTCAGTTCCGCTCTCACTGTTTGGTGGGTGTTTGTGTCACCTCCCCGTTAGTTCCCTGGGAGTTATCTCCCCGTTAGTACCCTGGGAGTTATCTCCCCGTTAGTTCCCTGGGAGTTATCTCCATGTTAGTACCAGCAATCTATCAGATCAGTGTGGAACATTATTGGAACAGTGTCAGTATTCAAAAAGCATCAAGTTGAGGCCTCAGACGTGAGGACTGAACGCCAGTGAATTGTTATTGGGTGATCCTGGGCACCAGATCCTATGTCCAGCCAATCAGCGGGCTGGGATTTACGAAGGCACACGGGCTATTAACCTCAGCCAATTAACGGCAAGAACCCCCAAGGTACGTCACGGGATCCATCCAATCAGGGACTGTCTCCTCCATCCACGATAATTACGATTAATCATTTAGTGTGTGCTGAAAAAATCAACGATTTATTCGTAAATATCAACGAATCACGTATATAAAAAGTATCTTAGATAACGAACTAGTATTAACGTTATAACTGGGAGTTGATATGGCCTTTGTGTAGAGGCGGGAGACGCCAGATGTACGACCAGTAATTACCGGAATAGCTTCGGGAGGAACACAAAGTGTCGTAAGGGATCACTCTCATATTTTCTTTCTCGGTCGACTCTTAATTTTAGTGAGAACTTGAAGCTGGTCGTGTAAGATTCTTTGTGTAAAACATATACACATACACATGTGTGTGTGTGTGTGTGTGTAGAAATATCAGTAGTAAATATAATAGAGAAAACTTGGTAGGAAATCAGTATATTCGAGTACTTTTTTATTTAAATGTCTCTAATTAAATATAATCACACACTGAAATCCTCTATGTGAATAATATTTATTCCAATAAACAAATAATTAATTAAAATATAGTATAGTCATAAATTAATATACTAAAAATATTTTATTAAACAATTATCAGTTTAATTAATAATTTCGCCATTTCATTCTCGCTTCCCTGACGTTAGTTTATTGTTAAAAAATACTTTTTTGTGCGTATATAATTAGCTAATGAAATCGTTGACCGTTTAGGAGTTTTTCAGTAGTTTGGTACACGGTTCAAAATCATTTATAAAACAAACTTTTAGAAATTATAACACCAGAGGTTGTGGAAATCTTGTGTAGGTGTTCTATTTTGTGCCTTCAGGGTCGAGATTCAGCTCTTGGACCCGCATTAAAGTTGTACAGGACTAAATAGTACTTGTTGGATTGTCAGTAAGGTGTTGTGGTGGCCTTAATAACCCTCCAGAAGGTGATAGGCCTTACGCTTATCAAACAAACCTCTCTATAAGTCTACTTTTGAGGTTGGGAATAGATTTAAGGTTTAATTAGTATAATTTGTATTTTATTTTAGGGTAGAGAAACAATTTCGAATTTTCTATGGTTCATCTGTTTCTCAAACTAGCACTCTTGTCCTTGTGTTAAAGCAAGAGAGAGAGAGAGAGAGAGAGATAGAAAGACAGAGAGAGAGAGAGAGAGAGAGAGAGAGAGACAGACAGACAGACAGACAGACAGACAAAGAGAGAGAGAGAGAGAGGCAGACAGACAGAGTAACGGATTAAAACCATCACAATTATGTAATATTTTCGAAGTTATTGTATCTACTTAGGGAAAAATTCTAATTTTAATGCAGGGAATGGAACTGCGTCAGCTTTGTAAGCGATGGGAGGCAGATTATCACATAGGAAAAATCAGCAATAGATTTTTAACTGTGAGGCGGGAAATGACCGAAATCTAATATCTGAACCTAAAAATTTTTTTTATTTTGAAAGATTTTCCTTTATGGTAAAAAATCTATGTATCATTTTGATCGTTTATATTTTGACTTTATTAGAAGAATTACGTTTTTCTCGTATTGTGAACGCTAGTTTTGTGGTTTTATAGTTTCAAAATGTTCACTTTATGGAAGGTTTTTGTGAACGCATAATCAATGTTGAGTGAGCCGTGAGGTAACTTAACAATACTAGGCTACATATTTCACTATAGACAGCTGAATCCTTCACAGCTTCACCGTGGGAGATGTCACATATGTAATGTCGCACACATATGCGCCATTCTTGTCCCTACAACACATAGCCTGATTCTATTGGCCGAGTTAAAATCTCGAATTCTCTGATTGGTGTGTTCAAATCGAGTTCTCCCTGATTGGTCAGATTAATTTACAAAACAATTTAGGATATCTGCTTGTCAGTTACGATTTACCAATAACAGAAAGTTTGTCTCTAACATTTGGAACCAAGATAACCAAGTAAGTTAACATTGACAAGTGGAACCGAGATATTGCAGGTTGCAACTGACAAGGGACAAAAGCCACCGCCGTTTCTAAAGTCACTATAGGATTTGCATGCAAGCCGATGTATCCTGCAATATCAGTCCCTTGTCTTGTTAGCGTAATGCTCAATAGAACGTATCACCGTGACATCGCTTTGCCCTTAAAACAGGAAAGACATTTGTTTTCTCATTTCTTCTCGTGTTGCAAGGCTCAATGTTACACAATACCATCGTCAGAATCTATAGTGACAGCAAAGACATTTGTGTTTTAATTACGTCAATGGACCACAAATTCTTACACAATAGTGTAAATATTTTAATAAGAATAAAGGTAATTACTAAATGCCTATTTCTCCATACAGACTAATTTATAAACAAAGCTGTGATAGCCCCTTCTTGCCCTGAATAGCCAATACCTGAGCTTACGCCTCCGCATTAATAAAACAATTTAGAATTTATAAATAATTATTTAATATTTGGCAAATCCGACTAAATAAATAAGTGAGAAACATTCTCAAAGCATGAATTACTTACTAGAAATTAATTTTTAAACTATTTTTGCATCAACTGTGATGTGGTTTAGTTCATTATTTTCACACGTTTTTTGTAAGTTATTCGTTCTCGTAGCCTTTCTGCCTAGCTGGATTTTTCTTTACGTGGTGAGCAATATATAATGAGATTCTTCAGTGTTAAAAATTCAAGATTAATTTTGCTGTTTTTGCAAAATTAAAAAATTTTGTCTTTTTTTGTAGTTTCTCGTTCATGATCACACATTTAATGGACAGATTACACCATTTATATTGCCAGGAATTGGTTATTTTCGTATGAAATTTGTTTAGCTTGGACAATATTAGCTAATTGTGCATATTGACTACTGTGACATATTTGATACTGTTTTTTATTGACCAAAGGGCAATAGTGGTCATAAATCTGTATTTGTCAATTATATTGACCACTTGGCTATATAGACCACATACTATATTGGCCACTTGGCTATATTGACCACGAACTATACCGATCATGTACAATATTGACCACTTGGCTATGTTGACTACGTACTATATTGACCACTAAACTATATTGACCATTAAATTATATTGACCACTAGACTATATTGACCACTAAATTATATTGACCACTATACTATATTGACCACTAAACTATATTGACCACTAAACTATATTGACCACTAAGCTATATTGACCACTAAATTATATTGACCACTAAACTATATTGACCACAAAACTATTTTGACCAATTGGTGGAATCGTTAGAATTGTATTCAAAAGTATAACGTATTATCACACATTCACTCTTTCCTAATTTGTTAATCCGTGGCGAAAAAAACGTTTTTACCAGATGTGTAGTAACCCATTCGTATGACATATGTACATTCGTATGTACATTCATTCCCTTCCACAGACGCCTCGCCTCGCCCCCCCTTTCCTCCTCTCCCTCCTTACTAGTTGATTGACGGTTGAGAGGCGGGACCAAAGAGCCAAAGCTCAACTCCCGCAAGCACAACTAGGTGAGTACATCCCTCTCAACCCCCCCCCCACCCTTGCAATATGGCATGGCAGCTGGTTGCCAAAAGTTGCCACCAGCCAGGAGAGTCGCTACACGGCTTCTCTCCTCAATTGGATGGAGGGTCGCTGAGGGACCCACAATATCCCCTAAGAGATTACACGTTTCGCGTTGGGGAAGATGTTCCTCAGCCACACAAGTTCTGAAACTTGCTGAGGTGAGAAATGAGGACATTTTCCGAGGCTCTCTGACGGTACCTAGATTTGAACAGATCTTGAAACTCTATAGATTTGACGGCCACTATTTTATTTACACGGGCTTCATGGAGGAAGCCATAGGAGCCGACCCCCTTTAAAGCGGGGCAATGGGGAAGACGGTGACCCGCCTATGAGTCCCTTAACACCCTCCCGTCAACATGGACAGTTAACCTCAAATGTTGTTGTTGTTGTTCAAGATTCACTACTTGGAACAAAAAGTTCCAAGCAGCACGGGCTATGGTGAGCCCGTAGACCTCAAATGTCTAACCTCCAGCTTTGGACAGACAAGGTTTATATAATTAACAGGCTAAGAGTCTCTTGATGCAGTTGCCACTGCAACTGATGGTTTGTACTTATATTTATAAGTTGATGTAATTTAAAAATTAATAATAAAAATATGATTAAATAATGTTGATGATCTAATTGAAGAGGCAGAATTATCCCAATTGGCATGTAACATATCTTGTACGTGTTACTTGCAATTAATATCTTCCTTAACAACTTAATTATCAATTTGATTATTTGTTTCAGACGGGGAAGGTGTGTGGGGCTTAGAGAATGGACTGAGGAGTTAAGTGGAGGTAGTAATGAGGGGAAGAAAGTATCTACTTTTCCTTTAGAATATTTGTTGATTCGTGTCCCGTGTTTCGTTGAATATAAAATAATGTATGTTATATTTTTTCACAGCGACTGGGATCTTCTCGGGATCAGCTGATGGAGGCACTGCTGGGAGGCGAGGAGGTGCTGGAGGACCAGCTGTGTGAAGGACGACGCTGTACCGCCAATGAGCAGTGTTGTGGCGGCCACATCTGCGTCGAGTTCGATGGAGGTGCGTTACCCCTTGAGTCAATCACCGTTTTCTTTTAAATATAAGAATAGGGACTCCTTTGGTTGCATTTTCAGATTCTTTAACGTGAAGAATGTTCTTAAGAAGAGAGGAGCAGAGCATGGTTGGGTTTTAAGACATGACATGTTTGTGTGTTTTGTTTATACATTTGATATAATATAACAATATGTACAGTGGTTATATATCTCTAATCTTTAACGTTAACTGAACAGCAGGTGACAATTCAACGATTAAATCTATTTCCTACCAAGTGCGCAGTAACCTATAATAAGGAAAGCTTAGTGTAAATACTTCAGTTCATACACTTCTCTAAAATATAATACACAACCCACATACAACCCCTACTACATAATACACAACCTACGAATACGTAAAATTCTATAAATTCTAAAATCTCTTCTCGGAAAATATACTGAATTTACGCTCATAGTTTTTTATTCAAATATCTAGGGACTTTGGCAGTCATCTTTCACTGATTACTCGGTAGGGGGATCATTAATGGGCCAGATCCCCTCTTAATGGGACTAATAGGTCCGACCCCATCCAACCTATGTCCGTCCCGTACCCCGTCCCGTACACTCTGCAAAGTTGGATGAGGCTAGCCGCGAGCGTTTGGCCTCCAACCTCATACAGACATTCGTGCATATACAGAAAGCAGTGAATATGTTTACATATATAGATAATAGCAGTGTATATATACTCTCTCTCTCTCTCTCTCTCTCTCTCTCTCTCTCTCTCTCTCTCTCTCTCTCTCTCTCTCTCTCTCTCTCTCTCTCTCTCTCTCTCTCTCTCTCTCTCTCTCTCTCTCTCTCTCTCTCTCTCTCTCTCTCTCTCTCTCTCTCTCTCTCTCAGTAATATAACAATTGCAACTTGAGGTCATATAATTATTATACTCCTCACATTCTCATTTGTATTTGGGAAGTGCAGGCTTCCAAGCCGGCTTTCAGGCAGACTTCCAGGCAGACTGTTAGGCAGGCTTCCAGATAGGTTTTCAGGCAAGCTTTCAGGCAGGCTTTCAGGCAGGCTTCCAGACTGACTGGATATGGTGGGTGGTCACGCGAGATTGAAGGTTAAGTGGCGGTATATATTGATCGTTCGTTTGGGAGGGGGAGGTTGAGGGAGGTAGGGAAGGGGAGGTAAGGAAGAGAATGGACAATTCAACAGGTTTATTACTAGGCTTGGCATCTCTCTCTCTCTCTCTTGTATTTGGGTACTTACCTACCCCTACTTACCTTTGAGTGTCTTCGGGGGCGTGACAGACAGCTATTTTGCCCCTCCAATTAGTCTTGTACCTGTTGTGTTGTGTCTGGATTGGTCTGTAAAAACACACACATAGCTAGAAAGACAGGGTCTAAGAACTGAAAGCTCGAATCTGCAGTCACAAACAGTAAAATAAATACACACATACACATATATATGTGTGTGGCACACACAAGCACACCACCACAACACACATATATAAAAACAAATGCAGCTGTTTACTCATCAAAGAACATCGCAAGTTTCATCGTGAATACGTCCCAGTAATGACAAAACTTTACACTAGAGAAAACGGACAAAATTATCACGAAGACTAAGTTATAATTTCCTCTTAAAAATTATGTTCTCTAATTACCTGATAACGATCTTACTAAGTCTCATGACTCGGTAATACAATGTTATATCCACGTAATAATTTCTGAATAGTTGCTTGATAAGACTTTAATCTCATTTTACTAATTACCGGGTTCTTTATTGACTAAATTAGTCGCATTCAGACACGAGAATTGCGTAGTGACTATTGTTTACAAGTAATATTGTTAATAATAGGGGCAGGAGTGGGGGGAAGTGGTGATAAAGAAAGGGGAGAAAGTGAAAAGAAAAGAATGGGAGAGGAAGAGGGGTGATACGATGCTGGAGGAGAGAGAGAGAGGGAGGGAGAGGGGTGAGAGGGGGAGAGAGGAAGGGGCAGTGGGGTTAGCGGAAAAGGAGGAGGCCGTAGGTAATAGGAAATGGGAAAGAGAGTGGCGCGAGAGAGAGGGAATGAGAGGAAATTACCCAATTACAGGACGAGAGGAAAATAAGGAGACAGGAGGAGAGGATAGAGAGAATAGGGTGAAACATCTATAACCTTGGATAATTATGACAAAAGAAACGTCTATCTGACTCGTAAAATGCACGCCACAACAACTCACTTAAACAGCGTAGCGTCCAAGCGAGTGAAGGTCATCACCGGATAATGGAGACATAATTCGGATAATTGAGACAGGGGTGTGCCAGTTAAATAGAAGGATAATAACAAGGCAATATATCGCAGTTGGATACAAGGGCCTCGAGGAAGTAATATGAGAGCTTTGAGATATTCAACGACGAGGCCATAAGAGCGATTATTTCTAGGTACAAGAACCTGCTGGTCGCCTCTATGGTATCTTCTTTGTGTCCTCACTTTATCGTGTGTTTTAATATTTATTGAATTATGTATTAAAATGTCCTTGGAAGGACCTGGTGGGAAGAGAGAGACCTCTCTCTCTCTCTCTCTCTCTCTCTCTCTCTCTCTCTCTCTCTTGTTCAACACAAATGTATTAACACAGGAAATTGTGTTTGATATTAAAGGTCAAATAATATTCTGTGTTGGATGTTATCCACAGTGATAAATTTTTCATACAGTATTTAGCAGTTTGTTCATCTTTTCATAATATTACACGAGAGAGAGTAATGAAGTATAGCGAGAGAGAGAGATATATCATGATTTAGAGATAGATATTATCATTGGATAAGTCAATAAATAGTTGAGTTTACGCACTGGACACTGTAGGGGCCCTTTAATCCGGTAGGCACTCTGGATTACTAGCAAAGCTTCAAGCACTAGTTATTTCAGCTTCTGCTTTAAAGGAAAAAAGGACTTCCTTCAAGCACAGACTCTAAGAACAGTCTCTCAATGCTGAAAAATCTTATAGCCACTCCAATGGTCCCGGCGGTCCACAGGGTTGTTGGCTTGGTCTTCTGCTGTAGAATTTCCACTACAATGATCGGTTTCACCTCATCCCTGAAGCTCATTGTACTTTAAACTTGCAGGCGATGAGTCACAATAACGTGGCTGATGTTGACCAGACCACACACTAGAAGGTGAAGGGACGACGACGTTTCGGTCCGTCCTGGACCATTCTCAAGTCGATTGAGAATGGTCCAGGACGGACCGAAACGTCGTCGTCCCTTCACTTTCTAGTGTGTGGTCTGGTCAACGTACTCTGAACTTCATATGTGGAAGACAAAGAAATGCTAACTGCTACGAGGGTCAATTAATAACTCTTCAATGCTATCTTGAGTAAGCACTCCTCTCCCGGCCTGCCTGACCTCCAACCTTCATCGGACTTTTGGACAAGGTGAAGAACTGTGTGAAAAGGCTCGCCTCTAGTCTCGACCAAGTCCGATAGCAACGGTCTCAACATCAGAGCCTGCAACACCGTCCAGATGTTGTTGGACTTACTGTTATATATATAAGGCCAACATTCTCCAAGTTCCGCACCTGGCCCAGTTTCGTGGACAACAAGAAGTAGATTCAAGACCCATCAACAGCCTTGTGCTTGAGCTGCCTTTCTCAAGAACATCACTCCATCAGCGAGCATTCATTCCCAAGCTGACTCGCATCTGGAACATGTTCGTCCAACACATTAATATGTGGGGAAATCAACCGCCCATTCGACACACACACACACGCCCACACACACACACACACACGCCCACACACACACACACACACACACACACACACACACACACACACACACACACACACACACACACACACACACACACACACACACACACACACACACACACACACACACACACACACACACACACACACACACACACACGAGTGTAATGTGTGTGTGTGTTACCGGTGATGTACATGAGCCATGAAGCGCACACCTGGTAATTATCTCACCTCGTATGTCTGCCAGGAGAGAGCCTGGTGTGTGTGTGGGGGCGGGGAGGAGCCGAGGGGACGTGCACGTAGTGAGGAAGGGACGTAGAGGAGTAGGGACAGAGGAAGAGAGGAAGGAAGGAAGGAAGGGAGGTACATAGGAGGAGAGGCGAATTAGAGGAGCCATGACAGAAACATACAAGATACTAATAGACAAAGACAATCTGGACGAGAAATTATTCCAGGGGAAAAAGAAAACGTCGAATGAAGAATGGAAACACAGATAGTTCCAGGATAGTTCCAGCCAATTGGGCTGGGCGGCACAGCGACTGCCACGCTTCTTGCAGGTCGACGTTCGATCCCTGATGGTCGAAGTGGTTTGGCATCGTCCCTTCCCTCCGTCCAATCCACGCTCGATGTCCACATACACCTTCCATATGCTATATACTAATACTGGCTTAGTGCTTTCTCCTGACAGTCACCTTGCCTTCCAGGACGTAACAAGCTCCTTTCTCACTGTTCCAGTTCCGTACGACTGGAAGAGGTGTTCCAGACGCGACACATCCATCCTTCAGGAACATTTAATTGACAAAATCAGTGAAAATTCAGACACTATCTGAAAGTGACTCTTTCGTAAGATTCAACAAACTAGCGCTATTTAACATGAGAACAAAGTACCCACACATGCCCATTCATGCCCAGGGAATACCCCTCCCTGGGCATGGGTAATGCCTTCCTTCCCACAGAAGCACAAAGAGTATATGTGGATTTTCCATCAAGAAATTAAAAACCCCATTCAGAGACAACTTCTACATTTTTCAAGTGTGCTCTAAAAGGCTTTAGTTAAATAGTTTGTAATTATATATATTTTGTTCTTACAATTGTATCAATTGTATTGTTATGTTATCGTACAATTGTATGTTATCTCTTCTTGTTGCTTCTTCAGTGGATCATTCACCCTCTCTGGCCTATTCTATTCACCCTCCTTACCCTATTCACCCTGCCTGCCTGCCTACCTAACTCTTCCCCCTTCCCTGCCTCACTCTCCCTCCCTGTCACTCACCCTTACTCACCAGTCACTCTCTCCTTCAGCCTCGGGGACCTGTATGAACTCCATGGGTCAGAGGGAGGGGTCAGCGTGCGTGAGTGACAATGAGTGTTCATCCGGACTCATCTGTGACCTTGGTGCCTGCGTCCAGATCCTCGGCAAGAAACGCTACAGTAAGTCACGGATATCGTAAGTCACTGATATCGTAAGTTACGAGTCACAGAAAGGAGGTCAGTACTCACCTCCTTCACTGTGCTTCGCCACTCAAGCATTCATCAGCTTGAGGATAATGAGGAAGGAATGAGTCTTGTTGCATCAGCTTACCTGTAAGTCATGGCTAATTATCAGATGGTCAATTTGCATTGTTGCAATCAATGTTGATCTTTCAGCTAGTTGTCCCTGGCTTTGGGTATCATATTATCGTATTTAACTTGATCACATTATCCTTGGAATGTATTAATATGGTCTATATTCCGTGTTTATATTTAGTAAAGGATGTTTATAGTTAATGTTAAAAATGTTAATTTAGTTTTATGTTTTAAGATACAGGTGGAAGTGGTCTTGGGGAATATTTTGTAATAGGTTTCGTTTGTAATTGGGTTTGTTGATATCCAACAGACGAGCCTTGTACCGTCAGCTCTGAATGTGAGGTTGGTCGAGGCTTGTGCTGTCAGGTCGTTCGCCGTCACCGCCAGGCGCCAAAGACGGTAACTACCAACCCCTCCTTGTTATCTCTGCTGGTTATCTTGACCTATCTACCACCCTCCTTGTTATCTCTGCTCGTTATCTTGACCTATCTACCACCCTCCTTGTTATCTCCGATGGTTATCTTGGCACGTCAACCACCCTCCTTCCGTGTTATGTTTGTTTATCACATAATAATAATATTTCATCTTGTCGGGGGACATGAAGCCTGAGTATATATATGCCTTAGTCTTGTATCGAGGTCCCCCCCTCCCCAAGGTAGAACTACTCAACTACTACACTCTCAGTTAACACTAACTGCCTATTAACAGTCACTCACGCTCAAGTGACACTAACTGCCTCCTAACAGTCACTCAGCCCCAATGTTCCTTCCCTAACAGTGCAATATTTGCTGAGTACCCTGTGACTGACAGATGTCTCCGCCCCTCTGAGTGACAGTTGTCCCCCTCCCCCTCTGAGTACCCCTGTGAGTGACAGATGTTCTCTTCCCACAGCTGTGTGGCTACTTCAAGGACCCAATGATCTGCATCGGCCGCGTCGCAGCTGACCAGGTAAAGACTGAGCCCAGCAAGCAGTAAGGTTCTTCACCGGTGTGTCTTCTCCCTCCCTTCCTGGTCCTGAAGGGTCCGGGACCCTGTGAGTCCTTCAGCTGCTTCTACTGATTCTTTAGTCTACCCTTCCTCGCTTCGTTCTCTCTTCTTTTGATCGTTCTTCCCCATTTTCTCTGGTTTTGCCACTTTTATGCTTTAATGGATTTTTCTTAGCGTTGGTTATCTTAAAACTTCGTTTTCTTTGGTTAGCATCGTGTTCTGGCGAATTTTTCGGCTTCCTGAAAGGTTTCGTATATTTAGCGTTATTTAAAATTCTATTAGTTCATTCCCTTTTATAAAAAAGTAGCAAATTGTAGTTCTTAAAACTTAGAATAGACAACAAATGTTTATAATATAAATCTGATCTTATAAAGTAGTGTTCATTTGAAGTTTTCTGATATTTTTCATTTATTTTTATGTTAGTATTTGATTATATATAACTTACTTAGTCTAATATCCGTAGTTTTACTTAAATCTTATATTTTACAATTATCTGTGTAATGTATTTGGTATTGTTAAATAGATGGTCTTATTAATATACAAATTACCTTCTTCACTATAGCCCTTGTCTGGCCATTGCACCTATAAATATGCTCACGTTTTCTGCTATTTTATCCAAATGTTTTGCTAGATATACTTAGCTATATACTCCTTTAGACTCGTTGCTTAGCCCCTGTTTATAGTAATAAAAACATTAATAATAATAATAATAATAATAATAATTGTATTCATAAAGTATATATAAAAACATATTACACTGAAATTACATATTATTTTTAGGTACAGAAATGGACATTAAACATACTGTGAATACGATATACACAGAATGGCGTATATATATTCTTGCTGGCTGGGCTGTATAAGCATTTAAGGTGTTCTTCATGACCCTCGTCGGTTGATAGGCCTTAAGTCCGACATCATACAAATCCTTATTGTATATTATGAAAGTTGCGTTCCATTATTTTCACAGGTGGGTAAAGGAGACGACTAGTGAATCCTATTAGCTGCCTGAGAGATTTTCCTTTCCTTGCCCAACGGGAAAGTTCTCCTTTTTCCCTTAGTGGGCAAGGTTTACTTCATGATAAACTTTACCCACTAGTTTTCCCTGGAACACGACCTGCCAATCGGGTTTACTCCCTGGTCCCCAGTTACTGCTGAGTGAACAGGTCAGATATACATACACCGGGAGCTTTACCTCGCTTCTCGGTGTATATGCAACGAGAGTTTACTTTTGGACTAATGTATACTTTCCACTTGGTCTGTAAACCTATCTAGTTGACTTAATTACCCTCCGGATATTGGAGGTTAATTAAGGAGGGAGGGTAATTAATTTTCGTTTTATCACCTATTTGCGGCTCGTCTCATTCTGCTGTAGTTTCCCCTGACTTCTGGCCTCCTGCAGCTTGTCATTGTTCCATGCTCTCTGATGGGGGGTCAGCGTTGCAGACTTGTATCAAAGTTTAAGTGATCTATTGTTTCTTCATCCTCCAGATAGCAGAAGATATTTGCATAGAAGGAAAATATCCAAAAGAAAATTAATAAGTCACAATGCTGATGTATTTAATGACATGGGGTATTAGAGAAAACTTACTCCTAAAATATACTAATATATTTATATATACTGAAAGCAGCCGTTCTTGTAAACTGAAAATGGTTGATTAATATCATAATATGAATCTTATCTATATATTTGATATTCTTCATTTGTAAAGTAAATTGACAAAATTACTCTTTACGTCTTATCTGTAAACTTCATTAGGCCTGATTTGTGTCACTAAAAGGCACATTTCGCTAAGGTACTCTTCAGCATGATCAGAGGCAGGGAAAAAGTAAATTTATATCAGTGGATAAGACACTATATAATTTATGCAGGATTAAATATGGAGTAGTGTTATCCAGTCTAGGGGACTGGATAATCTTGAAGATTACTAGGGATGGGGGTGAAGGGTAATCACCTCATTGTTAAGGGGATGGGGTTATCGCCTCAGTGAATGGGTCTGGTGGTGATGGTTGGGTTAACTGTTCTCCTGCTGCAGGTGGAACACATGATGGAGCATACCAAAGGAGAGAAGAGACTCACAGGCAAGAACCACGACTATGACAACATCTAGGGTGGCCCTCTAATCCATCCCTTGCCACCCTAAACCAACCTTCACCACCCTAAACCAACCCTCATCACCCTAAACCAACCCTCACCACCCTAAACCAACCCTCACCACCCTAAACCAACCATCACCTAAACCAACCCTCAACCACCCTCCAACCCTCATCACCCTAAACCAACCACACCCCAATTATCGCACGGCCTAACCAATCCCCTAATCCGCCCCCATACCCGACTTCATTAAACCTTCCAATCCTTACCCACAACGCCTACCCATCACCCAATCCTACCTTACCTACCACACCAACCCCTACCCAACACAATACCCATCCCCCAATACACAATCTCCACCCTTGGGAATTCTTAGACGTGACTTGAGTGAAGAGGACAAGGGGAGGAAGATGGACCTTGTATCTCAGCATACATCACCCAACAGACGCCATCAATGCAGCACACCCGTCTCCTCACCCAGAGAGTCATCAGCAGGAACGAGCTCAGTTCCTGCTAACATATTTTTTTCCTCTTTTATTGAATTACTTTCAAACTTACGCTTTAGAAATAAGGAATTTTTCTGTCATGATGTTAAACAAACCACTTCGTTATCATTTAAGGCAGTACTGTTAAATTGGTTTGTTAAACTATCCTAAACAATCTGTTTTGATAAGTTTTTATTATTGTTTTGACTATTTGTGAAGAAGAGTTTTTTGAGTAGCATTATAGCAGTGTGGGAAGCATTATAGCAGTGTGGGAAGCATTATATCAGTGTGGGAAGCATTATATTAGTGTGGGAAGTATTATAGCAGTGTGGGAAGCATTATAGCAGTGTATAAAGCATTATAGAAGTGTGGGAAGGAGTATAGCAGTGTGGGAAGCATTATATCAGTGTGGGAAGCATTATAGCAGTGTGGGAAGCATTATAGCAGTGTGGGAAGCATTATAGCAGTGTGGGAAGCATTATAGCAGTATGGGAAGCATTATAGCAGTATGGAAGCATTATATCAGTGTGGGAAGTATTATATCAGTGTGGGAAGCATTAAACCATTGTGGGAAGCATTATAGTAATGTTTGGAAGCATTATATCAGTATGGGAAGCATTATATCAGTCCCAGTGACGCATGTGACGTCAGATTACCATCACCCCTACTGCTGCTCAAGCGTCACCCTCGAACAAGTGAAGTTTAAGAATTCTATGAACCTAAATAGTTTTTTCCCCTTTCGGTAAGAGATTAAGTGTCAAGTCTAAATAGTTTCCTGAAGTAATTAGTACCACATCTCGTTGCATCTATGTGTATATCTTGAGTCTTGGTGGGCATACTGTCAATCACACAATTTAGTACATATCTAAGCAATTGGGAAAGGCTCCTAGATCCCAAGATTAAGAATCAGGATTAGAAAAAATGGTAAATAATAGATAGGCTACAGGATCATAACAGAAGGACGGTCAATATTTCGTTCGTGTTAGGCACTTCGATTCCATGTTGGGTAATAATCCAGGTGTTCCAACCCCCAAACTCATGCCAGCTATGAGCTCGGTACCTATGTTTATTGTTCCCCTTGTCGTCTATAGTCCGACACTCATTATAAAGCATGGGAGTGGGCGTTGGGTAGAAAATGGAGTACCTTTGTGTGGCAAACTATTCTAATTATTATTAATCATTAATATCGGTGTCTTAAGACTGTATAGTCGGTAACCAATAGACTAAGTATTATCGCAGGCATGGTGTTTCCTTGTGGCGTGCTCGTTATATAGTCTGTCTGTGCTGGCCCAAGCAGCTAGCTCTCTCTCTCCATTTGGTCATTACTATTATTAAACCTTTCGGCAGACATTTGTGCATATTGGGCCTTCCTCGCCAGGTTGGGGGAGGGTATAGTGCGCTCTGAACGCCACCTTGGGACACAGCCTCGCGTCGGCTCTCTTCCAACGTGGTTGTCTGACACCCAATTTGTCCAATTTAGGCAGATGAATACACTGAATAAATGTGAATGAAATTCCTCACGCATCTTTCTCTCCTACATCTTAACCATAATTGTATACTAATTCTCACTAATTCTAGCAAATGATATCTTGCATGGCAACTCACTGATCTTAAGCAGAGTGACTATTATACAACTTTTGATAACTTTTAGGCAACTTTTGACAACATGTTTAATCTATCAAGAAATACTATCGATATCTTACTCATCAAGACCAAGGTGCTTGTGTCGTCACTGGGAAAAGTGACGTCAGATGATATCATATCAGAGCTGTTAATCTCTTCCCATATAATTGTTGTATTATTATGTATGATCTTATATGTGGATTATTAAAGATGTTTTAAGTGCCCCCTGCGTTTTAATCTTACGCTCCCGTTTTCTGTAATACATTCACTGTTTACCTCGTTAGTCTGAGTATACACTGAGTGTGTATTATACTAAGCGAAGTATACACTGAGTATGTATCATACTAGGAGTATACACGGGGTTAATACCAAATAAGCCCAATATCAAACTTACAGGTTGGTCATTAATCTTCAGTTCTCTGACTCTGATCAATTAGTGTACATTGTCATGTTCATAGAAAACGGTACCATCCGTTTGTATGCGCTGCGGTTCAGACGCCAGCAGGAGATAAACAAGAGAGCATATCGCCCCTAAATCAACACAACAACAAGAGAGCATACAGGACGGCCTGAAGAGACTGTAAAATTTGTCGCCTGAGGAGATTGTAGGGTCTATGGCCTGAAGAGACTATAGGGGCTCCATCCCTTCGCTATTTCCCGGTATCGGGCAGCCGGGGCGCATCCGATCCCACGATCGTCGTCGCCCCTAAATCAACACAACAACAACAGCGTACAGGACGCCACCAGCTTGGAAGCAGCTAGTCATGTATTGTTTATAAGTATTAAAGTCAGTAACCAAGCAGTGGCTTTATATCAACCCTACAACCAAGACTTCCTCAGCAACACACAACACCACACACATATTACAAGCTCTTAAAGCTAAATTACAGTTCACGGGATTAACAAACAACTTCTTGTAGTGTTTTACTGTAATTCTGACTCACAGCTGTACAAAAACATTGAGGCAAACATGACATTTTAAACATACACACAATCTCACGGAAATACAAAATTTACCCTTATTTATAATTACAAAATAATGTTAAGACTAGATAAAGTTTGGCAATTAAACCCAGTTTTTTGGCACTTTATTGTTTTGTTTGTGATGGCAAGTAAAGTCTTTGTTGACATTCCCAGCTTAAGCTGTTGTTGACATCTCTAACTGTTGTAGTTGGTGTGGAAGAGTTTGAGGCGAGCTTCAGCCAGAGGCGGGTGTGGGGAGCTGGGCCTTACAGAAGCACAACTTCCTAAGCACGTCGTGGCGAATACAGCTGCTAGTGGTTCCATATTTGTTGATCCTGGACACCTCGCCGGTCACCTGAAGAACACGAGGACGGTCTTAATGTACCGCTGGATGTCTCCTCCTGTCCTTGAAGAATTCTGATCCTAGTTCGAATGCACCCAGTCACTGTTTTGAGGGATGGGAGAGGGAAGAGAAGATACAAAGGGAAGGAGAGGCGTCTGGGAGGTGGGAGAGGCGTCTGGGAGGTGGGAGAGGAGTCAGAGTGGTGGGAGAGGAGTCAGAGAGGTGGGGAGAGATGACAGGTAGTGATGGGAGGAGACAGGGAGGTGGAGGAACACCAATGCCTTCCTGAGGCAACATGCAATTATGAGGACCGACTCACTTATGCAAACATGCAACATTCATATATGTAAATATGCACGCAAGAGCTGCATTATAACATATATATATATATATATATATATATATATATATATATATATATATATATATATATATATATATATATATATATAAAAGAGTAATATTGGAATATAATCACACCAGAGCTGTTACTGAAACGCATTCACAGTACACAGATCACCAGTTCAGCTCTTGCCAATCAGAGTCTTGAATAGAGTTAAGTGATGATAGTTGGATTTGAATGTATAGGTAATGTTTATTGCTGTACTACAAGCCTGTCATCTCTCGTATCATCTTGAAGGTCACAACACGCCGTCTTGTCTCGCAGCCTCACCTGGAAGACCTGGGTTGTGGGTTGTAGCAGACAATAACTTCACCTGGAAGAGCAGGGATTGTAGGTTGTATTACAGCTTAAACGGGAGGCGCTGGGGTTGTGGGTTGTACCCAGCCATGGCCTCACCTGGAAGAGCTGGGGTTGTGGGTTGTATCTGAGTGTGGCTTCGACCATAACACCACCAGGAGAGAGGGCAGCTTGCAGCAAGTAGCTCCTGACATCGCTGGTGGAGTCCTGCGGAGCCAGCTCCTTGTTCGAGCCAGATACACGCCCAGTTACCACACTGATCTGTAACACCATCCAACACGTCAATACAACACCAACGTCAACATCAATTCAACCATAAATAAATTAAACCATATATAAAGACCAAAGTTAGCTTCAGTGAGATTCTGGAGCACATATACGTATAACTTTCTAACTAGGACCCGTGTGGCCAGTGTTCTCTCTCTCTCTCTCTCTCTCTCTCTCTCTCTCTCTCTCTCTCTCTCTCTCTCTCTCTCTCTCTCTCTCTCTCTCTCTCTCTCTCTCTCTCTCTCTCTCTCTCTCTCTCTCTCTCTCTCTCTCTCTCTCTCTCTCTCTCTCTCTCTCTCTCTCTCTCTCTCTCTCTCTCTCTCTCTCTCTCTCTCTCTCTCTCTCTCTCTCTCTCTCTCTCTCTCTCTCTCTCTCTCTCTCTCTCTCTCTCTCTCTCTCTCTCTCTCTCTCTCTCTCTCTCTCTCTCTCTCTCTCTCTCTCTCTCTCTCTCTCTCTCTCTCTCTCTCTCTCTCTCTCTCTCTCTCTCTCTCTCTCTCTCTCTCTCTCTTTCTTAACAAACATAACACTAAAAATCCTTCACACATTTACACGTACGCAGTAATGGCATATTTTAGGTCATCATCACATTATTTATAACTCATTGGTATATATATATGTAAACAAGTCCACCGATTTAATTGATTCAACTTCATTCGAATTATCCGGAGATTCGGGTTAGCGAGATTCGCATTAGTGAGATTAGTTCAGCAACATTTTAACCGAATTTGACTCGTATTAGTGCAATTATTTCTAGCATATATAAATCCAATTTGTTTCACGTTTGAATTTTAAGCTTATCTTCAGAAACCATTGAGATTAATAGATATAAAAAGAAAAATTAGCTTCTTATAAGATAATATATCGGGCTGAAGGCTCAGAGCAGGTTAAAATATCCCTTCATTGACGAATCATAACACTGAAATCGTTACAGAAAATGGGAAAATTATCAACACGAGCCACTCTATGGCGGACTATAGAAAACCACAAATCGGAGCTTTTCATGGCAACGATGTCAACCCTCCACTTGCTACTGTGCCAACCCTCCACTTGCTACTGTCCCAACCCTCCACTTGCTACTGTGCCAACCCTCCACTTGCTACTGTGCCAACCCTCCACTTGCTACTGTCCCAACCCTCCACTTGCTACTGTGCCAACCCTCCACTTGCTACTGTCCCAACCCTCCACTTGCTACTGTCCCAACCCTCCACTTGCTACTGTCCCAACCCTCCACTTGCTACTGTGCCAACCCTCCACTTGCTACTGTCCCAACCCTCCACTTGCTACTGTGCCAACCCTCCACTTGCTACTGTCCCAACCCTCCACTTGCTACTGTGCCAACCCTCCACTTGCTACTGTCCCAACCCTCCACTTGCTACTGTGCCAACCCTCCACTTGCTACTGTCCCAACCCTCCACTTGCTACTGTGCCAACCCTCCACTTGCTACTGTCCCAACCCTCCACTTGCTACTGTCCCAACCCTCCACTTGCTACTGTCCCAACCCTCCACTTGCTACTGTCCCAACCCTCCACTTGCTACTGTGCCAACCCTCCACTTGCTACTGTGCCAACCCTCCACTTGCTACTGTCCCAACCCTCCACTTGCTACTGTCCCAACCCTCCACTTGCTACTGTGCCAACCCTCCACTTGCTACTGTTCCAACCCTCCACTTGCTACTGTCCCAACCCTCCACTTGCTACTGTGCCAACCCTCCACTTGCTACTGTGCCAACCCTCCACTTGCTACTGTCCCAACCCTCCACTTGCTACTGTCCCAACCCTCCACTTGCTACTGTCCCAACCCTCCACTTGCTACTGTCCCAACCCTCCACTTGCTACTGTTCCAACCTTCCACTTTCCTCAGTGTTCGGGTATTCTGACCTTGGAGAACTGGACACACTCGGGGAAGGGGTCGAGGTCGTGGTTGAGGGACTCCTTGAGGAAGTCAGCAGCCAGGCGGAGGACGGGGTCGTCGAGGGGGACCTCCTTGGTCTCCTGACATGTGCAGAAGTGTTCAGGGATTCCAGCATCCTCACACGTCCTCTCCCGAGGGATCTCCTGCAGGAGGCAGCATCCAGTTAGCACAACTCCTCATAACCCAAGTGTGAGGTGACACATACTCACAGCTGTGCAGCTGCTCGGTCTAGCCACAACTGTAAGGACCTGAGTAAATTGGTACACATTAAGCTTTGGATTATAATTCTATACAATTTTTGCTGAGGTAGATGTAGTCAAATTTAAAGTGTGGCAGCAAAACTATTCACAAGTCCTGCATATCTGTGTTTTTTAATGTGAACAAATCTAAGAAATTAGAATCAACTCTACCAGTAGTACTTAAAAAACTTGCCTCCACCTCCTTCCCTCATCTCACTCGACTTGAGAATGGTCCAGGACGGACCGAAACGTCGTCGTCCCTTCACTTTCTTGTGTGTGGTCTGGTCCACGTACTTAAGAAATGTTCTATCGTTTCACCTTAAATTGTATGTTGTTCAGTTTCTATGCCAAGCTTGCCTACTGTTGCTGATGGTGTCCCAAGTGTGTTGATGACACTTGGTGAGGGTAACACTCCCACCGCTGCCCACTGTGAGGCTCTCAGTTATCCCATCAACTGAACTAAGAGTAACACCAAACGCACAACCACTTGGGCTAGACGGTAGAGCGACGGTCTTGCTTCATGCAGGTCGGAGTTCACTTCCCCGACCGTCCAAGTGGTTGGGCACCATTCCTTCCCCCCCCCCCCTTCCGTTCCATCCCAAATCCTTATCCCGACCCCTTCCCTGTGCTATATAGTCGTAATGGTTGTTGTTGTTATAGATTCAGCTACTCGGAACAAGTTCCAAGTAGCACGGGCTATGGTGAGCCCGTAGTGGACTTACCTGGCACAGGAGCGGGGCAAGTAGCACGGGCTATGGTGAGCCCGTAGTGGACTTACCTGGCACAGGAGCGGGGCAAGTAGCACGGGCTATGGTGAGCCCGTAGTGGACTTACCTGGCACAGGAGTGGTAAACACCTCTACCCTGTGATCTTAAGGAACCTGCCCAGTATTGGGTTGACCTACTCTGAGGGGCGTTGCTTGACCGGGATCCAGCAATGACCACGATGTATATATGTGTATACACCAGTGGTCGGTGTATACATGACTTGGGCAACAGCTGTTCCGTACTTTGTTTAATTAAGGAGCGCCAATTATCGTTCTTTCACAATTTTGTTTTATCATATTTAATGATTACGTTTTTCATTATACTATATATAATGTGATCTTTATTAAATTTGAGTTAAAACTAACATGGAAATTGCATGAAACTAAACCTATCTAACCTATCCTAACCTAACCCAACCTTACATAGCCTATCCTAGCCTAACCTAAGATATTGACCAGACCACACTAGAAGGTGAAGGGACGACGACGTTTCGGTCCGTCCTGGGCCATTCTCAAGTCGATTGTTCGTTCTCTCAATCTCATTCTCACAATCGACTTAAGAATGGTCCAGGACGGACGGAAACGTCGTCGGCCCTTCACCTTCTAGTGTGTGGTCTGGTCAACATATTTCAGCCACGTTATTGTGACTCCTCGCCTGTTAACCTAACAAAACCTAACCTAACCTAACCTAACCTAACCTAACCTGACCTTGAAGACGCTAATTCCTCGAGCGCCTGGCCCGGGTTTGGTAGTAACGTGGCGGAGATCAGAGAAGCGGCCGTAAGCGAGGTCTCGAAGAGTTTGATAAAGATCATAGTTGGCTGTGAGCCGTCTTGCGTTGGTCTGCAGGTTCCTGAAGGCCCGTCGGTACCTGCCGAAGGGAGATGGAATCAGCCTGGTGTACATGTGAGTAATTAAGGTAATGAGGATTAAGCACTAAGTTATTACAAGTGAATCATAATAGCGGTTTAATTGTTCAAGGCGCGTGTTTGGGAGCGCAAAGAATCAGGTTCGAATCCTATTACCCCTGATGCTTTCAAATAAAGTATTTAATATTTTGATGGTTTAATGTTTTATATATATTTTAAATTTTTAATATTTTGTAAATAATATTAATATTATTTAATATTTTTGATGTTTTGGGTGTTTGAACGTCGTGTGTGTGTGTGTGTGTGTGTGTGTGTGTGTGTGTGTGTGTGTGTGTGTGTGTGTGTGTGTGTGTATGAGGCTACAGGGCAGCCAACCCTTGCGAGTATAACTAAAAATATTCATTATAATATATATGTACCATATAACTATTACTATATAACAGAACATATATGTATGTTGTAGTTTCTGAAGTTCTTTACTCAGGTCTATTTAAATTATAGTCTTTAGTACCCCGAGAGGATCTTACTGTATCATGTTAAGTTGGTGCTGTGTAGCTGACCTGTAGGGGTGGGAGGGGCTGCCTGCCTCAGTGTCCTGTGGGACGTGGTAGGGGAAGGTGTGTCGTTTGGTGCTCTCGTGACCAAGTAGGAAGATATTTCATGTTATTTATGGTAAGATATTGATTATTTGTGGATGATCGTCTTTATCAGTGTATATTTATGTATTTTGGATATGTAAATCTCGTGGTTTATATTTTCCTTTGTGGGGGGAGTTATTAATTTGTTACAGTCATTTGGGAGGTTAATGTTTACAAGTTTTGGCTTTGACAGTCCAGTTGGGACTTAGGTTTATGAGGACAAAGTGTTTAGGGTTGATGGCTTGTTGCTTTGTTAATGTTAATGATACGAAGATGTCCCGCATTGGTTATTTGATGGTTGTTTAATCTCTTAAGAGTTTAATCTTGATTAGTCCTCAGTAACTTTGCTTTTCTAATTGCGTCACCATTTATCCTCTTTGAACACAACCTGAATGCTCTTCAACTGTTGTCTAGTGTTCTTATGTTATTAAAATTTTGTCACGTGTTTAACTTAGTAACAGGTAGCTGGAGAGACTATCTTGAGATGATTTCGGGGCTTTAGTGTCCCCGCGGCCCGGTCCTCGACCAGGCCTCCACCCCCAGGAAGCAGCCCGTGACAGCTGACTAACTCCCAGGTACCTATTTTACTGCTAGGTAACAGGGGCATAGGGTGAAAGAAACTCTGCCCATTGTTTCTCGCCGGCGTTCGGGATCGAACCCGGGACCACAGGATCACAAGTCTAGCGTGCTGTCCGCTCGGCCGACCGGCTCCCTAGAGGCAGTGAAGTTAACATTATTAACCTTGTCGTTGTTGTTTTAGATTTTAGCTACTCAGAACGAAATGTCCATGTAGCACGGGCTATGGTGACCCCGTAAAACCTTGTCGTGTTGCGTATCTTGTAAATAGCTGTTGTCATGTAGACTCCACCACAGTAATCTGGTGGTTTATATTTTAAAATTGAACTATATCCCTAGACCCTAAAGTTGGGATTTGCTTGAGGTCAAGAGAGTCAATCATTGAGTGTGTGGAAAGTCTATACCACGAGCCTTGCTTGCGGGGGGGGGGTTATGATATGCTGATGTATATGTATATGTATGTGTATGCTGTACACATACATATGACCCTGTATGCTAATGATCGAGTCTACACAAAGACAGACAGACAGAGAAAGAGTACATACGAGTCACTCTACCAATTGACCATAAAAGAACAAGAGAAGAAACTGCATGTTTACATTTTAAGTCCAGACTGGAGCACAATGGAAAACATATAATGACTAACCAACAGTACCAATAAGTACTATACAACGATAAATTTACATAATGACGTGTTTTTGAGTCGATGGTTCGATGTTGTTTCACAAGGACCCTATTGTTAACATTAGGCATCCATCAGTCTCAGGAGATTGTGGAGTTGCGGTCTGGTGTCGGCCTAGTCTGGAGTGGCCTCACCAGGGCGCAAAGCCAGGGTAGGTTGATTCTGGGGAGAAGCTGTTACCCAGGCAGCAGGTCCCCCCTCTCCACGGTGCTGAAAGTCTCCAATGGAAAGGCAGCCGCCAATACGATTGGTTCCAGCGCCGTCGCAGGAACTGTGAGTTCCCGAATAGTATGCTGTTATAATCCTCAAACACATGCTCCGACACAATCACTTCTCCTACACATGTGCTCTCCAACACACCTGAGAGGCTCCATGCTTGGTGTGACAACATGTGTTTGTGTTGTATGTTGGTGTGTCAGTGTGTGTGTACATGCACCAACACTTCTGAACCTCTACACATATAAACCTCTCCTCCAACACACACACACCACACCTGACCCGCCAATAAACCACACCAACACTGTTCCCTCCTACACACCTGACTCTGAACCAGGGAGGCAGGTATATAATGACGTAAGGCAGCCTCTCCTCCAACATGCCGACGTAGGTGGACCTGATTGAGCCCCACCTCATGCCGTGGTCGCTGACGAAGAAGAGAGCGGTGTGATTGAGAGCCCCGAGGTCGTGCAGACGCCGCAGGTAGCTGAGGTGCGGCAGGTCAGCGTGGCGGAGCATGTTCATGTAGTCGTGACTAAGGCTTGCTGACCAGTACAGACCGAAGGTCGGCGTGTCTAAGAAGGTTCGCGCCACTTCTACGGAGTAGTCCTGTATGACCTGAGGGAGAGAGGAGGTCACTTGGGTGAGTGAGAGGTCACCACGGGATCTACATCTATCATTGTCTATGTAGGATTGAATATAATTGTATATGTGATGTTTAGCAAGGTATTGAATCGTCACGGCTGTGGTAGCAGAAAACACTGGTCTCTGTAAATAGTTCCTGTTGACTAAACCACACACTAGAAAGTGAAGGGACGTCGACGACGTCAATCGACTTGAGAATGGTCAAGGACGGACCGAAACGTCGTCGTCCCTTCACTTTCTAGTGTGTGGTTTAGTCAACATATTTCAGCCCCGTTATTGTGACTCCTCGTCTGCAATTAGTACCTGTGTTGAAGACGTGCTCACAGATCACCTGAGGTGTCCAGGTAGGTGCTTGATAATCTTGGACTTTACCTGACGTCTGGTAACTCGTTGATCATCTAGACTGTTTTGCTAGATTCGTTAAACTATTTTCTTCATCTCATTTGAGTTTTCTAGCACAGTCTTGTCTCCTGTCCTCACTTGGGACCCCTGATACCACCCCAACTGAGCACTGACAGCTGCTGAATACCTTCCTCAGCCTCACCTGAACACTGACACCTACTGAATACCTTCCTCAGCCTCACCTGAACACTGACACCTGCTGAATACCTTCCTCAGCCTCACCTGAGCACTGACAGCTGCTGAATACCTTCGTCATCCTCACCTGAATGCTGAACTTGGGCCCTTGACAGACGTTAGAGTTGCCGTGCTTGGCTCCCCCGATCTCCTTCTCAGAGGCCATGAAGAACGGCCTCCCGTAGTAGTCTGTGGGCTGAGTGACAAACCCGTTGTGAAGGTAGTTAAACATTCCCATCCACGGAGAGTCCTGAAAGGTTAAGGAGGATTACCAGTAGGAAGCCGTGCACTGCACGATATATCCTGCTGTGGGTCCTGCTGTAATCTAAGGAGAGATGGGAGTGGACAGATATACCACAGACCTTTTGTAATTATTCTTATGTGGGAGCACGTCTGAGATCTCTTGTGCTGGAGAAGTTGATCTTACCAGATGACAGTTAGAGAAAAGGATCCACAAGATGACTGGCAAACAGAAAATCAACAATTTAACTACGAATCGAAAAGAAAATTCTACCTACTAACTGGTTTATATGTTTAATTCAAGTACGAGCAGATCTTTCAGGTCTGAAGCACATGTAACAATTATGTTCTTAAATGTACACGAAACCGAAATTCTTTGAGTGGTCTGTTGCTGATGACTTTTTAGTCCAAGTGGATGAACCTTTAAGAATTGGATTTAATGAAGTGATTACGCTGGCTTGCAATGCTCTAGATGACACACAACTTAGGCGATGAGTCACAATAACGTGGCTGAAGAATGTTGACCAGACCACACAGTAGAAGGTGAAGGGACGACGACGTTTCGGTCCGTCCTAGACCATTCTCAAGTCTCAATCGACTTGAGAATGGCCCAGGACGGACCGAAACGTCGTCGTCCCTTCACCTTCTAGTATGTGGTCTGGTCAACACACAACTTACCTCCATGTACGCTGTGACGTAGCCATTTTTCTTGAAGTCCTTCCAGATCCAGTGGCAATCATCGAACTTCTCTCTCTTGGGAACACAGGAGTGGTTGGCCAGTTCGTAGGTGCTCAGGCCACTCAGTACAGGAATCAGGTTAGGGAAGGTGTTGTCCCCGACCTTGTTGAAGCCTGCCAGGTCCACGGCACCCAGCTCCTCCGTCAGGTAGCGGTACGTCTTAGGTAGGTGCCGACGCATGTTGAGACGCGAGGCTGAGTCCGTTCCGAAGATGATCACGCTCAACTTCTCGACGTCCTCTCGCTCCAGTTGTTCCGGAGGCGGGTCTTCCTGACTCTGTGTTCCACCACCATCTGAGACGTAACTTGTGTTGGTACTTTCCACGTCAGCCACAACGGAATAATTTAATCCCGCTGGAGGTGGTTGGGGCTTGTCCCGCTGGATGAAATAGTGAACATTTTTGTAAACGACGACTTGACTTATGTTGCAGCAGACGAGGACAGCCTCTTCCTTCACGGTAGTCTCTGCCCCCACCACAGGCTCGCACCATTCACTGTACCTGGCGGCATCACCGTAGCTCTACACTATGCCTGGACCACCATTAATCATACGAAAAGCTCTAAAATGTTTTACAATGTAAGACAGACGACAGGACACACAACAGGACACCCGACATGACACACAACATGACACATAATATGACACAACAGGACACATAATGACACACAACTGACACATAATATGACACACAACATGACTAGCGTGTAGGTATTAGCAAGTTGATTGCGTGGGTATTTGTTTCAATTTATTTGGCAAATGTGATGCAGTTTTTTCTATGAATCTAAAATAAGATTTTCGACAAAATTACGGAACTTTGGCAGAAACGAGCATTAGATCAACCTGTCCTCGTACAAAGAACGTTGCTTTGCGATCGTATGCGTTACCTAAGGCCAACAATTGTACTAGAAAATGGAAGCGGCTGGCGAAAGTGACGTACTGTCCCATTTTCTGTTTTGGATCCTCTGGTAGATTAGGAGAGACCACTTTAGTTTGACCGTTTCCTTGACGTTGAGAAATCTTAGGAGGACGGACGGGTTAGAGAGTCATAAAGTGTCTAACAAAACGTAACACAGTCCGAAAAATCTTCACCGCACTGCAGGTTTGTGATAAAAAAAAATTCAAGATAATTCTGATAATGAAATTTTGATCAATATCACATCAGAGCTTGATCGACAAAGCCAATTTGTTTAAAAATTAATAAACCATTACATTATATTAACATGTGAAGGACCTGGTTAAACTTTTTTACATATTGACCTGAATGAAAGATCACTTTACCGTGACAAAAATAAAATATGGTACAATTTTTTTACGTAAGTTTATATAAAAACAGTATGATACTTGAAGTTCTTCCCAGGCCACTTTCAGACAAGGTCTGATTAAAAGATCACTTCTCTTAACACAAACATGCTTACAATACAAGAAGCTGCTTGTAGCTTACAGTTCCCGTCACTGGGAAGCCAAGGACAGGGCGCTCACCTCCAGCGGCTGTCAGCAGCTGTCGTATACATCAGCGGCCGCTGCTCCACCCGGTAAATAGCCCGGTAACAACACCGCACCTCAGCCCGGGGCGGTGACCTCCGGTACTCTGGACTGCTGCCGTTGCTCTTCAGGTACAAGTCCGAGTCCTCCCTTTGTCCGGTGGTGGGGGCCGGTCGTGAGCCCCAGGGGGACGTGGGCGACGCTCCGGAGTCTTTCGTGTGATTTGGTAAGGTTGATATGTTGGGTGTGGAGGATGAGGTTGGCGCGGGGGTGGTTGTGCGGGAGGAGAGGCGCGTCTCCTCGTACACTGTGAGGTAGTGGTGGAGGTTGTCTCTCAGGACCTCCTCGTGGTAGTACAAGGTCGTCCCCTCCGCTGATGTCAGCGCTGGCGGAACCTTACACGTGAGCTGCCAATAGCCAAGTTCCACATCAAATATTAACTTAAAAAGTTAAGAAATTGCCTTTGCTTTAACTACCAAACTCTACCTGCATGCTCTTATTTTGATGTCGGTTATCACAATACATTTAAATATATATTACTCGAAAAGAATATAAACGAATTAGTATACCCTTGCAACTCCCGCGCGGTAAAAGAAAATGGACATGTACCAGTGTCCAGAGAAAATGGTCCGTTACCATGATAGGGTTGGAGATAAACCTCGTAATAGTGTGGTGGAAGGGGTCGAAGTCAGGTATGATACATCCAGGGGTATGAACCAGGAACCCCTGCTGCTCCTCCTGCTGCTGCTGCTCCCCTCCTGCCGGGGAGGTGCTCGCTGCCCCTCCACCCTGCCCCTCCCGTGCTCCTGGAGGCGGTGGAGGCGAGGGGTTGGTAGAAGGCACGATAATGTCCATGATGTACTCCGGGGCATGGTGAACTGAAAATGGATGACATTGTATTAGTTTAAGGGTAAACTCTCAGAAATACATACCAACCTATATACTAATGAAAATAAGTAACAACATATTTTTTATATAATATTAAAGTATAATAAAATTAGACACGCGTGTTCATGAATATACCAAATGCAGGAACGCTTGAGTGAACAAATTACATTCCTGCAAAAAATTACACATAACAATTTAATAGATATATTTTATCGCCCATTAACTAACAATAGCGGACAGAACCACCAGGGGAAAGTTGCATTTATAGGACCTATTGCTCGAATGAATTAAATAGGACCTCACTGACTGGATTAGATTCGTTGACTTCAACAAAATGAATTTGTCAGTCGATGCCTCAACGACAGGAGTCGAACATTAATGTTAGAAGGCTCACACTGCTCCTATTTTCCCGGGTACTGTATAATATTTTGTTTTTCGTGTTAGTGAATTCAGCATTGGTGAAATTGTCCAATTTTTAACGCAGGTAATTGGCTTGGGAGAGTTTGTTTATGCTGGGGTACTGGGACCCGTAGGGGTCCCTTTGGCGGGCCCTAACATGTCCTATCCCGGCCCTTACGGTGTTATCATGTCCTATCCCGGCCCTTACGGTGTTATCATGTCCTATCCCGGCCCTTACAGCGAGTGTAAGGGCCGGGATGTCGGCTCAGACCAGTGTAAACCACCGCCCTGAGCCCTTACCAGCTCACCAGTGAGAGTCGTGTGTGGAGAACTTACATGAGAGGAGGACGCGAGTGTAGAAGCCGGCCCTCCGGGGAGACGTCGCTAGGAAGAAGGAGAAGGAGGCGGCCACCAGCAGGAGACACACGCCCACGCCCCTCCGCCACGCCCGCACCAAGCCACGCCCACCGCCCGCGTTGGGTGTCCAGCCGCCCTCGACACTCCAGTAGCAGCCCCGGCCGCCCTCCTCACCAGGACCTGTGGAAGGAAGGTGAATGTTAGTGTGTGTGTGTACTCACCTATTTGTGCTTGCAGGATCGAGCATTGGCTCTTGGATCCCGCCTTTCCAGCCATCGGTTGTTTACAGCAATGACTCCTGTCCCATTTCCCTATCATACCGGCCAGGAAATTTCCCTAGTGACGCATTGAAGGATTTTTATAACTCTCCTTTTGTCGGTCTAGAGTGCATACTGTGTGTGTGTGTGTGTACTGACCCAGTTGTGCTTGCGGGGGTTGAGCTCTGACTCTATGGTCCCGCCTCTCAACTGTCAATCAACTGGTGTACAGGGCCTCCCCTGTGTGTGTGTAGGGATGGGGAGGGGGTGTATGTGTGTGTGTGGGGGTGTATGTGAGGTAGGGGGGTGTATGTGTGTGTGGGGGGGTGTATGTGTGGGAGGGTGTGTGTGTGGGGGGGGACTGGGCCGTCCTGGTGATCACCAACAGCTGACGCTGCTCTCAATATCCTGTTTCCATGACAACTGCATGTCAATATTTCCTCATTAATACCATACTGTTTATGAAACCATTCACACCTAACGACCATTCAGTAGAACTCATAATTACATTTAAATAAAAACAAAAATATGAATATAATATAATCCATAAAATATATATATATACTTTCATTTGCAATTTTTTTTAATAAATGGAAAATTCAAAGCTTTTAAAAGGCCCAAAAAAATTAAAAATTGGATAAAATCGACAATTTCCTGTTGTTGGAGTAAGTCTTTGAGCAAATATTTGGGCTAAATTGGTTGATTAATTCCTGATATATATGTGATGTTGGATGGTTTGAGTGCAAGTGCATTGGTTTGTTTGTTTGTTTGTGTTCCCGCCTGAGTGTTTTTGCTTGTTTGTGTCTGCAAGGGGAGTTGAGCTTTAGCTTTTGGAACCCCGCACCTTTGGTGTCAGAGATTTGGCAATGTCTGCTCTGAAAGTTGGGATTCACTCACAGTAGGCACTCCAGAAAGGCACTCACGGTAGGCACTCCAGGAAGACACTCACAGTAGGCACTCCAGAAAGGCACTCACGGTAGGCACTCCAGAAAGGCACTCACGGTAGGCACTCCAGAAAGACACTCACGGTAGGCACTCCAGAAAGACACTCACGGTAGGCACTCCAGAAAGACACTCACGGTAGGCACTCCAGAAAGACACTCACGGTAGGCACTCCAGAAAGACACTCACAGTAGGCACTCCAGAAAGACACTCACGGTAGGCACTCCAGAAAGACACTCACGGTAGGCACTCCAGAAAGACACTCACAGTATGCACTCCACAAAGACACTCACAGTAGGCACTCCAGGAAGACACTCACAGTATGCACTCCACAAAGACACTCACAGTAGGCACTCCAGGAAGACACTCACGGTAGGCACTCCAGAAAGACACTCACAGTAGGCACTCCAGAAAGACACTCACAGTAGGCACTCCAGGAAGACACTCACAGTAGGCACTCCAGGAAGACACTCACAGTAGGCACTCCAGAAAGACACTCACAGTAGGCACTCCAGAAAGACACTCACAGTAGGCACTCCAGAAAGACACTCACAGTAGGCACTCCAGGAAGACACTCACAGTAGGCACTCCAGGAAGACACTCACAGTAGGCACTCCAGAAAGACACTCACAGTATGCACTCTAGACCGACAAAAGGAGAGTTATAAAAATCCTTCAATGCGTCACTAGGGAAATTTCCTGGCCGGCTTCTCGGGAAATTATCAACAATCGCGAGCTCTTTGGATCGTCAGGGAATGTTTGGGGAAAATTGGAGGGGATGGTGCAAGGTGGGGCTGGTGGTGGGGACAAGATGGGGGTGGTGGGGACAAGATGGGGATGGTGGGGACAAGATGGGGGTGGTGGGGACAAGATGGGGATGGTGGGGGGACAAGATGGGGGTGGTGGGGGACAAAATATAGGGTGGTGGGGACAAGATGGGGGTGGTGGGGGACAAAATGTAGGGTGGTGGGGCCAAGATGGGGATGGTGGGGGACAAAATATAGGGTGGTGGGGACAAGATGGGGATGGTGGGGGACAAAATGTAGGGTGGTGGGGACAAGATGGGGATGGTGGGGGACAAAATGTAGGGTGGTGGGGCCAAGATGGGGATGGTGGGGGACAAAATATAGGGTGGTGGGGACAAGATGGGGATGGTGGGGGACAAAATGTAGGGTGGTGGGGACAAGATGGGGATGGTGGGGGACAAATGTAGGGTGGTGGGGCCAAGATGGGGATGGTGGGGGACAAAATGTAGGGTGGTGGGGCCAAGATGGGGATGGTGGGGGACAAAATGTAGGGTGGTGGGGACAAGATGGGGATGGTGGGGGACAAAATGTAGGGTGGCGGGGGACAAAATGTAGGGTGGTGGGGACAAGATGGGGATGGTGGGGGACAAAATGTAGGGTGGTGGGGCCAAGATGGGGATGGTGGGGGACAAAATGTAGGGTGGTGGGGCCAAGATGGGGATGGTGGGGGACAAAATGTAGGGTGGTGGGGACAAGATGGGGATGGTGGGGGACAAAATGTAGGGTGGTGGGGGACAAAATGTAGGGTGGTGGGGGACAAAATGTAGGGTGGTGGGGCCAAGATGGGGATGGTGGGGGACAAAATATAGGGTGGTGGGGACAAGATGGGGATGGTGGGGGACAAAATGTAGGGTGGTGGGGGACAAAATGTAGGGTGGTGGGGGACAAAATGTAGGGTGGTGGGGGACAAAATGTAGGGTGGTGGGGCCAAGATGGGGATGGTGGGGGACAAAATGTAGGGTGGTGGGGGACAAAAAATGTAGGGTGGTGGGGGACAAAATGTAGGGTGGTGGGGCCAAGATGGGGATGGTGGGGGACAAAATGTAGGGTGGTGGGGCCAAGATGGGGATGGTGGGGGACAAAATGTAGGGTGGTGGGACAAGATGGGGATGGTGGGGGACAAAATGTAGGGTGGTGGGGACAAGATGGGGATGGTGGGGGACTAAATGTAGGGTGGTGGGGACAAAATGTAGGGTGGTGGGGACAAAATGAGGGTGGTGGGGACAAAATGAGGGTGGTGGGGACAAAATGAGGGTGGTGGGGACAAAATGAGGGTGGTGGGGACAAAATGTAGGGTGGTGGGGACAAGATGGGGATGGTGGGGGACAAAATGTAGGGTGGTGGGGACAAAATGTAGGGTGGTGGGGACAAGATGGGGTACATTTAATACCCATCTCATTTATTAACATTAATCAATTAATCTTCGTTTTTTCTAATTCTATTTTTTGGTTCAGTTAATTGTAATTGTCGCTTAAAAAATAATCTGAAGATTTTTTGTATAATATTTTTAGCATTTTCTGCTGCTAATGCTTGTTTGGGGGGGGGGGCAAATTTAGAAATACACTGTGATTGAACAGAAAAAAAATAATTACAAAAATACCTTTTTTATTTTTGTTTGGTGTGTTTCATATGTTTTCTGGAAGCTTGATGCACAAACATGTTTTGATGTGTCAGGTATAGACATGTGTGGAAGCTGGAGATATAGCAGGATAAATTCAAGTGTGTACTAAGTCCATTAGACGACTTACGACTAGAGAGGCGGGGCCCAAGAGATGAAACTCGATCCTTCAGGTAAACATAAGCGAGTGTAAATAAGGGAATACACTCATGATAACAAACACACACACTCTCGATAAGGTACACATCCGTTATCACACTCACAGATATCTAGCAACACACACAACACACTTACACAACACACTTGCACACACCTGCCAACACACTGATGCTTGTGTCTTAACCTTCTCACCCTAAACATACACATGTGACTACACTCACATTCACTCATATACACAGTTTCTAATGTAGATATGATAGAGCCTAATAGGTTCAGGAATCTGTTCACTGGTTGATTGGCAGTTGAGAGGCGGGACCAAAGAGCTGAAGCTCCCCGCAAAGGCAACTAGGTGAGTACACACACACACACACACACACACACACACACACACACACACACACACACACACACACACACAATATACATGATTCCTCAGGGTGCTGGTTAGCAATATTGCAATATTTCAAAATCAATCATATAAAGTGCACGGAAAATATATTTCAACTTTGGGAAGGTACTGTGTTCTCTCTCTCTCTCTCTGTCTCTCTCTCTCTCTCTCTCTCTCTCTCTCTGTCTCTCTCTCTCTCTCTCTCTCTCTCTCTCTCTCTCTCTCTCTCTCTCTCTCTCTCTCTCTCTCTCTCTCTCTCTCTCCTCTCTCTCTCTCTCTCTCTCTCTCTCCCCCTCTCTCTCTCCTTCTCATAGAGGGGAGATAGAGTCATATTTACCTAATGTGTCACATTTTTAAACAATAATAAACAAAAATAAATTATACGTGACCCATGAGGCGCGGGAAACTAAGCGACCTCCGCCAATGTTTACGTCGCCATCTTGGATCCATCCGCCCGTGTTGCAAACACTAATTTGACACTTAGAGCTGCAGAACGCTAGCAACTTGCGGTAAATATGAGTGGGACTCGTTCATCAAGTGTTAGTTGCGCCTCGTATGCAAAGATAATCAGGAAAACCATCACTTGTCCTGCATACTCACACACTTTTCACATCTATCTCTGGTAACTACAACACGTTGTTCTACTACTGTAAGCTACTTTCCTTATACGACATGATCACCACATACAAGATTCTCAGAGGAAATGATAGGGTAGGTAAAGACACTTTATTTAACATAAGGGGGCACACGCACTAGGGGACACAGGTGGAAGCTGAGTACCCAGATGAGCCACAGAGGCATTAGAAGGAACGAATATATATATATATATATATATATATATATATATATATATATATATATAATATATATATATATATATATATATATATATGTCGTACCTAGTAGCCAGAACGCACTTCTCAGCCTACTATGCAAGGCCCGATTTGCCTAATAAGCCAAGATTTCCTGAATATATTTTCTCTAATTTTTTTCTTATGAAATGATAAAGCT